ATGGATGGATGGATGGTTGGGTGGATGGATGGATGGATGAGTGGATGGATGAGAAGATAAATAGGCAGATGAATGGATGGCCAGGCAGGTGAATGGGTGAATGAATTGAATGGATGGGTGAATGGATGCGTAGACATGTGGATGACCAAACTTCCCCTCCATGCTTCACTTCACCTGGAAGTGAATAAGGAGACTGGTATTGTCAATTTCACAAGTCTGTCCATTCAGGAACAGACCCTCAAGGAAACCTCTGGAGAACTCACCATTTCCGCAGGAGAGGTGGGAGTGAGGTAGAACTCCTTCAAGTGCAGGAAGAAGCCTTCCAGTTGTCCAATCAGCAAGAGTAAGAGGACCCCGTCTGCAAACTGCAAAGGAGAAGCACGGGGGGCAGAGCCCGCACGGGTCCTGCACCGCCTTCGGCAGGCAGAGTGGCGCTGCGGGAGGCTGCCTTTCTGCGACTCAAGGACGACACCCCCGACCTTGCCGCGTGTTGTAAACATGGGCGGCGGCAGGGAGGAAGCAGTTATCCACTGCCTGGTACAAAGCACACGCCCAATAAAATAAGCTGTCTTTCCATTAGCTGGGAAATAGCCGGATGTTGCCTTTGAAACCACACCCCGCTCCGCGAGCGACAGAGGCACAGGAGAAAACGGAGTCGAACGTAACATCATTCCACAGCACGGCGGGCTCGTGTCGCTGGCCGCCACATTAATATTTCCGTCTGCGCTGTCTGTACGCTCAGGGACAAAGCGTCGCCCCGCCACCCGCATATCGTAAGCTCATATCAACCTACTCAATCTCTTCAAAGATACCAGACGCAAGACTGGACGTTGGAGGGAAAACCGCCACTCGAGCTCGACGTCCTTAACAGAATTCCCTCCTAAGAGGTCTGTTTCGCCGTTATGAGTTTGGCCTGAAATCTTTCCTGCTGATGTGCCCCCGTGATATCCCCGAAATACCAGAGGCTTCGACTACCCCTTTGTCCGACAGTCTCTACGCATCATCGTCACCCAAGCCAATATTTTCCAAGCGCCATGATTTCATCGAAGAAGAGAGAGATAAAACAGGTGAAGTGGAAGTCCACAGGATCATCCTGTTCGCACCCACATGAACGACACCGAAACCCCCAATTCGTCGTCTACTGCGTGTCCACAGCGTGTCAGGGAGCGGAGTCAACTCCGGGGGCTGCTTGTCTTGTACATTTACTCCCAGGTCCACGAGGCTCGTATCCTTACCCTCGTTTTAAAAGAAGAGGGGTCCGATGTCCACAGAAGTCCGAACCAAGGCCGTGCAGACAATGTGGAGGAGGTGTCCTTGAAGCCCAGGGGCCACACGTGTCCACCTGGCTTCCGAGCCTCGTATGTCCGCCCTGCCACGTCACTGTGCCACATGACACACAGGCTTCTCACGTGGCCACCATGTGACGCGGTGATGAGGACACACTGTGGCCTCGGCACCCTGGGTTCGAATCCCAGGTCTTCTGCTCTATCACTGTGTGACCTTGGGTGAGTTAATTAACATCTCTGTGTCTTAGCGTCCTCCTGTATAAAACGGGGCAGTATCTGTTCCCACCTCGGGGACTGTCAGGGGGAGTCAATGAGTTCGTAGGTATAAAGCACTTTGCGCAGAGCCTGGCACATAGTGAGGGCTTTACTGGCTTTAGAAACCAGGCACGGGAGCAGATCACACCCCATCCGTCTCTGGCTAACGTCAGGGTGTGTCTGAGAAGTCAGCACGTCTGGCTGAAATCACCACAAGTCATTCGGTCCACCAGGGACCAGACCTGACTTCCGCCTCCCTCCCCCACCGCCACCGTGGCGCGTGAGCAGAACCCGGGTGGCCCAGCGCCGACCCCGCCATGGCGGGTTGATGTGTCTGGTGTCCAGGGGGCTCCATCACCGCCAGAAGGCCCCGCGCCGGCGATCAGCCCGTCGGCTTCCCTGCTCCCCTCCGTGCTGAGGGAGTATCGCAGGTGCACAGCATCCTCAGGGAAAACCGTGGCCCCCCGCAGAATGCCGATGCCGACCGTGCAAGACCCGGCTCCTGCCCCACGCGGGGACTAGGTGTAGGTCAGCTCCGGGGGGCCGAGAAACCGGGGGGCCCACAGATCCAGGGCTGTGGTGGAACCTAAGACAACGCCCGGCAGGTAGCTCAAAGCCGTAAGCAGACGCAATCACACCAGGAGAGCTCCCACGGCATAGATGAGCCCCTGCGTAAAACGCACCCACGGTCCCTGCCTCACGAGATCCCCACGGTGTCCCTGGTGGGTGAGACTGCCTACCTACCAGCTACGTCCGCCATCGGAGAGGCGCCAGGTCTCCAAGAGATGACACATCACAGGCCCCACGGGGGCGGATCGAGGCTCCCCGTGCCCCGCAGGACCCTCTTCCCCGCCTGCACCCCGTGACCTTTCCCTACCCGGGGACCCTGCACCTGAGACCCTACCTGGGTGTCCAGATTCTGCACAGACAGGCCCAGGCGATCCAGCTTCTGGTTGACAAAGTTCACAATGGCCTACACAAGGAAGAGCACAGACGTCGGGCCCGGGGCTCAGGTTTCCCGCCTCCCGTTTTGGGGGGGGGGGGACAGAAAGGCCCCCGCATGGCGCCCGAAGCACAGCAGGTGAGGAGCGAGGGCCTTGCCCCTTCCCCTGCACCCCCCAGGACACGAGGCAGACGGGCGGGAGAGTGACTGGGAGCTTTGATCTCTCTTACCTCTTTCACAGCGTTCACTTTCTCCGGAGCCAGTTTAAATAATTCATCAAAGACGTCCTCTGCAGACAGATCCAATAAACGCCTCATTATGATGCTATTATCCTTGCGCCAAACAGGGACGCATTTCCATAAAAGTTTCTCAGAATACCCAGTCCGCAGAGAGATGTAGTGTCATCGCAACGGTTCTTGAATTAAAACATGGGCCTGCGTCTTTGTCCCTGCGCCCCTGGCCGTGTAGCCCAGGGGGAGTCGCCTGCCCTCTCTGGCCCTTGGTTTCCTCATCTGCACATCATGGCTGATCATACCTACTAGAAGGGGTCTTCACAAAGATGAGATTTGGTACCAGATAACGCACTTGGCTCGGTGGCTGGGCACACAGTAGGACCTCGATAAACTTCATCTTGGGGCACCCGGGTGGCTCCATCGGTTACCCATCCGAGTCTTGGCTCAGGTCATGATCTCACGGTTCGTGAGTTCGAGCCCTGCATCGGGCTCTGTGCTGACAGCTCAGAGCCTGCTTGGGATTCTCTCTCTCTCTCTCTCTCTCTCTCTCTCTCCCTCTCTCTCTGCCCTTCCCCTACTCGTGTTCTCTCTCTTTCTAAATAAATAAACAAAACTTTAAAAACAAAACAAAACAAAAAAAAGGTCATCCTTTCTGCCGTGGATGCCTGTGCGTCTGCTCAGCCACCGCTCCTCCCCCTGGAAAGCTTCTCTCCTTCGTCCCCATCCCCCCCCCCTTCACC